CCTTAGTTTCTGATTTTCATGGTGTGTGTGTGTGTGTGTTTTTATTTTAATTTTCCCGCCTTTATTTTCCTACTGAACAATTTGTGCTTTAATTTTTGTTTGAGTCTGTTTATAGTTATGCACAAAGCTACACAATGGGCTATCTGTGCTCTGTCCACCACGGGTATCGAAACCCGGTTTCTAGCGTTGTAAGTCCGCAGACATACCGCTGTGCCACTGGAGGCTTGTTTGAATCAGGTTTTGTTTAATGTTTGTTAAGTTAAATTAACTGCGGGCAAGAAGGTCCAAGGTTCGAGCCGTGAAATACCGCTGAACTTTCAGCTGTGGAGCATTATGATCTTAAAAGGCAGTCTCTATCTACAGTTAAGAGTGACCACGTAGGCGGTAGTCGTTGCTAACTTGTCGCCCTCCTTCTGATCAGCATTTCTTAATTAAGGGTGGCTGTGTCTGAATCGTATCTTACTTCTCCCCATTGGCGCAGTGGTATGTCTGCGGACTTACAACGCAAGAATCCGGATTTCGATACCCATGGCAGGCAGAGCACAGATAGCCCATTGTGTCGCTTTGTGCTCTAAATATCAAATTGAATCGAGACTACTTCTTGTAATACTACTCTTGAGAAAAATCGCCATTCTAAACTCTAGAGTGAATTACTGATAATATTAATAAACCGTTTTCCTTGATTCTCCCTGTAGTGCTTCCTCCTCCCCCAAGCTGTAACATATGCACCGAGTCCCATAAGGGAGAAATTCACAGTTATGGATATCCGAACGAATACCGAAACAACCTGGTGTGTAAGTACAGTATAGAAGAACACAACGAAAGCTACTGTTCGGTAACCTTTAATGTTGTTGATTTTGATGTGGATTACACCCCAGGCTGTATTGGAGATTATCTTGAGTTAGAAGATCAGCGGTTTTGTGGGAATGAGCTACAAGGCCACTCACGTAAGAAACTTTACATTATATGGCTATCAAAAACCGGTTCAAGTGAACTACCTGTGAAGCAACAACTACACAAAGCATCTTGCATAGCATGTCTTGATGATAGTTTCGATATTTTCCTACATTTTCAAGAAAACCTATGTAGTAGCAGTACAAAACTATGATAATAAACACATATATAATTGTAGCAGTACAAAGCTATGATAATTAACACATATATTATTGTAGCAGTACAAAACTATGATAATACACATATGTATTATTGTAGCAGTACAAAACTATGATAATACACACATGTATTATTGTAGCAGTACAAAACTATGATAATACACGCATGTATTATTGTAGCAGTACAAAACTACGATAATACACACACGTATTATTGTAGCAGTACAAAGCTATGATAATAAACACATATATAATTGTAGCAGTACAAAGCTATGATAAGAAACACATATATTATTTTAGCAGTACAAAACTATGGAATAACATATATATTATTGTAGCAATACAAAACTATGATAATAAACACATATATATAATTGTAGCAGTACAAAGCTATGACAATTAACACATATTATTGTAGCAGTACTAAATTATGATAGTTAAAAATAGAGATTATCGTAACAGTACAAAACTGTGGGAATTACCTTATAGGTTATTGTAGCAATACAAAACTGTGGGAATTACCTTATAGGTTATTGTAGCAATACAAAACTGTGGGAATTACCATATAGATGGTTGTAGCATTACACAACTGAGGGAATTATCATATAGGTTACTGTAGCAATACAAAACTGAGGGAATTACCACTGTTAGATATATAGTAGTATTGTTTCAATATTGTAATTTATGTAGTAAACTCGCCTATTTCTTGCAGGCACAGTGTCGTTCCGAGGCAGGCAAAGTATTACACTTGTGTTTCAAACTGACTCCGTTTCTGTTAAAAGAGGATTTAAGATAAACTTTCAACAGCATCGATGCTCGGGGATCAGAGCCCCTTCCGTCACCGGATCAAACATTCAGAACCACAAGGATCCCTCTACGGTCCTTGATTCGTCGAATGCATTTGAAAGACTTAATGCAGATCCTGATAGAGAGTTCGAAGTCTTTGGCTCCGCACCGCCACCTATAGGACCAAAACCAACTTCACTGCGTGAGACTGCAGAAAGTTTAAGCGAAAGTAAGAAAATAATGAATACTGTTAATAAGATTATATGTATATATATTATTTGTTCATAGGAGATTAAAATAAGCACTATAAAATAGTAATGACCTTGATACAAAACAAAAACAATACAATGAAACTAAACTTCAAACTTGTTCCCAATGAAACTAAACTTCAAACTTGTTCCCAATGAAACTAAAATTCAAACTGTTCCCAATGAAACTAAAATTCAAACTTGTTCCCAATGAAACT